GTTTTCGGCTTCGTGCTTCTAGGAGCAATGTGTGATCATAGCTGTTTCTTCCTTTTAACTGCCAGTGGGGGTATGAACTGATTGAATGGGAGCTTGGCTGTGTTCTGATTGGGTGGAGGTGTGTTCTGATTGGTTAGGGGCTTGGCTGTGCTCTGATTGGATGGGAGAGTGTTCTGTTTGGGTGGGGGCTTTGTTGTGCTCAGGTTAGTCTGAGTTGCAGGGGGATGTGAGATAGTGAGCTGCATTGCTGTTGTTTGGCTTCACGTTCGTGGTCCTGCCTCATCTTCATGGTGGGTGTCAGTTTGCTTCATGTATGGATTGGAGGGGTTTAAAGTGGCTAATGATGCAGCTGTGGTCTGGCTTCTGGTTTGTGGTCATGCCTCATCATCGGTGTGGGTTTTGGTTTGTTTTTTGCGTGGATGTGTGGTGGTGACATCCTGTGTGGTTTTCGTGAGTGTGGGTCTGGTGTCATTCTTTGTGTTAGGGACTCGTTTGTCAATAAGGGCGGGTTTCCAAATGGCTGGTAGGCGGGAGCTATCATCTCATCTATTCATGCTGTGTGGGCGTTTTTCTATCTTGATGGCTTCCCTGATTATTCTGTTATTAAAGTGTTCAGTTTTGGCAATAGTTCTGGTCTTTTTAAAGTCTATTTCATGTCCTCTGGCTTTAAAGTGTTGGACCAGGGAAGAAGTTGGTTCCTCTTTTTTGACTGAGTTCTTGTGTTCTTCAGTGCGTGCACTTATTCTTCTGTTGGTTTGTCCGATGTATGTGGTGGGGCAAGCGGTGCATGGGATTTCATATACTCCTTGATTTTCTAACTCAATTTTGTCTTTGGGGTTTCTTAGGATGGTGGATATTTTTCTCTTTGTGCAGAATGCTGTCTTGATGTTGTGTTTGTGGAGGATCTTGCTGATTCTGTCTGTGGTGCCTTTTATTTATGAGAGGAGGGCTTTACCGTTTTCTTGATCTCTCTGTCTTGGATTTTAGTGGCGGTTTCTTTTTGAATTAGGTTGGTAATCTTATTTCTTTGGAATCCGTTGGATGTTAGTACATTAGTGAGAGTGTGTAGTTCGGTTTTTAGGTGTTGTTCGTGAGCTAAGTGTTTTGTTCTGGAGATGAGTGTCTTGGCTACGTAGTTGATCTGTGTTGGGTGGTGGTGTGAGAGTGCGTGCAGATAGCAGTTTGTGTGTGTTTTCTTCTGGTAGATGGTATATCCTAGGGAGCCATTGGATTTCTTGTAGACCAAGACATCCAGGAAGGGAAGTTGCTTATTAGCTTCTGTTTCTATGGTGAACTGTATTTTAGGGTGTAGGCTGTTGAGGTGTGTAAGGAAGTTGTCCAGTTTTTCTTTCCCATGTGGCCAGATTATGAAGGTGTCGTCTACGTATCTGAGCCAGATTTTGGGTTTGTGATCAGATTTTTCTAGAACTTGGGTTTCAAAGTGTTCCATGTAGAGGTTTGCAATGACAGGTGAGAGGGGTGATCGCATGGGTGCTCCTTCTATTTGTTTGTATTTTTGTCCGTTATAGATGAAGTATGTGTTGGATAGGCAGTGGTTGGTCAGATATAAGATGTGTTTGGGGGGTTATATTTCTTTTGGATAGCTGTCAAGGCTTCTTTGATTGGCACTTGGGTGAAGAAGGATATGACATCGAAGCTCATGAGCAGATCACTGGGCTGTAAGTTTTGTTTCTTTATGATCTCTATGAACTGGAATGAGTTTTTTATGTGTGAGGTGATGGATTCTGCATAGGGCTGTAGTTGTTTGGCGAGAAATTTGGCTAGGTTTTGTAGAGGTGAGCCTATGGAGCTGACTGTGGGTCTAAGTGGGGTTCCTTCTTTGTGTATCTTGGGGAGACCATAGAACTTAGGGCATCTGGGTGATTTCTCTCTGGGAATGATTCTTTGCTGGATCTCTTCACTAATGGGGGAGGCTTTTATTTTGGATCTAGTGGTTTTTTCCAGGTAAGTGGTGGGATCTGTGTTTAGGGGTTTGTACGTGTAGTCTTGGAGTAGGTTGGTTAATTTGGTTTGGTAGTCAGATGTGTTCATAACCACCATGGCGTTGCCCTTGTCTGCTGGTAGGATTATTATGCTGGTGTCTTCTTTCAGGTTAAGTCGTGCTGTCTGTTCCTCTTTGGGTAAGTTGCTTTTGGGTGGCTTACTGGTGCAGAGGATGTTGGTGATTTTGAGTCTGATTCTGTTAGCGTCGTCGGGGTTGATTTTGGTCAGGTTGGTTTCAACTCCGCATATAATAGTTTCAGTGGGGGTGTGTTTGGGAGCGACTGCAAAGTTGAATTCTTTGGAAAGAACATTGGTTTCAACTTTAAAAAGACCAGAACTATTGCCAAAACTGAACACTTTAATACAGAATAATCAGAGAAGCCATTGAGATAGAAAAACACCTACACAGCATGAATAAACGAGATGATACCTCCTACCTACCAGCCATTTGGAAACCCGCCCTTATTGACAAACGAGTCCCTAACACAAAGAATGACACCAGACCCACACTCACGAAAACCACACAGGATGTCACCACCACACATCCACGCAAAAAACAAACCAAAACCCACACCAATGATGAGGCATGACCACAAACCAGAAGCCAGACCACAGCTGCATCATTAGCCACTTTAAACCCCTCCAATCCATACATGAAGCAAACTGACACCCACCATGAAGATGAGGCAGGACCACGAACGTGAAGCCAAACAACAGCAATGCAGCTCACTATCTCACATCCCCCTGCAACTCAGACTAACCTGAGCACAACTAAGCCCCCACCCAAACAGAACACTCTCCCAGCCAATCAGAGCACAGCCAACCCTCCATCCAATCAGAGCACAGCCAAGCTCCTAACCAATCAGAACACACCCCCACCCAATCAGAACACAGCCAAGCTCCCACCCAATCAGTTCATACCCCCACTGGCAGTTAAAAGGAAGAAACAGCTACGATCACACATTGTTCCTAGAAGCATGAAGCCGAAAACACCAGCCTGAAGATGATGAATGGGACTTTGTCGAAACGTCGCCAAGGCACTTCCAATTTTACGCGGGAGAAAACCCAAATAACCAAAGACATACACACACACACACACACACACACACACACACACACACACACATAGCTTGTTTATGCTAATCCTAACATTAATCTGCTTCATTTTAACTAGTAAATAATCTGCTGTTAGACTTTAGTAGTTTGAGACATGGAATAGGGATCATTTCTTTTAAAATCTAAACTGAAACTTTCAGATGACGAGACAAGCACCTTGCAGACTGCCAATTTAATTTTAACAATTGCTATTAGCTTCTGGTATTCCTTCCTTCTGCCTAACGAGTTTCTCAGTTGACTGGCAGCTTAAATGCTGTAGGCTGTCACATGCCAGGGCAGCCATGAACCCTGAGAGCTGAGGACAGCTGAAATCCTATATCTTTCAGCAGCTGATACCAAGGCTTAAGCACTTAATTATTCAAAAAACATGGAAACATTTAATATTTTTCATCATCATTAGTTATTTCCTGATGTTTAGTTGCTTCATATATAATCTCCCATATAGTAGCTTTGTATTCTACAGTCTTTCTATTCCACAATTTCCCTCCTGAATAGTTTAGATCAGGGGTTCCCAACCCCAACCTCTGTGGACCAGCACCAGGCCACAGCATGCCAGGAACCTGTCGACGCAAATAAGCAAAGCCCCATCCATGGGATGCAGGCAGCACATGAAACCACACCCCCTCTGGTTCGCAGAAAAACCTCTCTCCATGGAACCGGTCCCTGGTGCCCAAAAACTGGCCTCTGGTTTAGATCATTACTTCCATCTCCACCTCCAGAACACCTGTTTTCCCTGCTGGTTGGGGACGAATAAGATTGACTCAAAATATTTTGTGCTTGAGATGAAGAGCAAGATGGTATCATCTCCCATTCTAATACAAGATGGGATTCGCAGTAATGTTGCCTTCATTGATGGAGGCTTCTTCCATTGCACTTTGAAGGCAATGAACCATTTTAGAAATGTAGGATACGCCATGTGTAGTACTCAGTTCTTTTTTTTTTCCCTGTACATTGCTGTTCCTATCCAGAATCTGCTGTCAGTTGCAATATTCTCACTTTTCCTAATGATAGGGCTAGTCCCTGGTGATTGCAGGGGTGTCTCTTATGATATATTTTTAAAAATTTCAGCTGTTTGGGCCAGGAAAATTAGAAGTAAGGGGAAGCAATTTTGTGTCACATATATTGTGTTCACATTCAAGTATATTTAATGCAAATATATACATTTTCCCAATGTTTGCATTTATTTCCAATTTCTTTGTTATACAGTATAGAATTTCAGATATATATGAAACATTTCCAGTTTCAGAGATCTGAGCTACTAATGCAAACTTGTTTACAAGCCTAGTTTTAAAAAAGCAAGAATATAAGCAAAGCTTCCTAGGATTGTAACGTTGATGCTTTGTATTAAATCCTGAACTTTTTCTGTATTTGTGTGTCATCTTACAATGCATACAAAAGGGATCACAATATGCACATTTCCAAATAATGCAATTACATAAGTAATAAGCATTAGTGAGGCTTGATTTATGTTATTCACTGCAGCAATGAAGGCATTTGACAACTCCCTAAAGTTACAGACAGGATACTTTTGACTTGAATCATTCTTTGAGTTTCTTCAGACAGTTGTGTTCAAACGGATTCCAACCATCTGTTAAATGTTAAGGAGCATCAGTAGAATTAAATATCACCCTGGACTGGATAGAGGGCCACTACAATGTAGTCTTATTTAAAATAAAACTTTTGAAATAATTTCCCCCCAAAAAACTTTCAAAATTAAAAAAAAAATCAAAACTTTTGAAATCTATTTCAATGGATCTGAAAGCATATTTAGCGAAAAGGATCTTTCATAACCAAACTATTTTCAAAATCAGTTTTCATATCTCTGTAATGGAGTGAAATTCATCTTTTCAAAACTTAGGAACTTTGATTTTTTTTGACAGATACATGAATATCATAAATAAGAAATACACTGAATTACCAGTAGGGGAGGAAAATGAAAGGGAAAAGAACCGAAACGGAGAAAAGCAGGAATGTGAAATCTCAGTAACTGGAATTCGGCCAAATTCAGGTAAAGCAATGGTTTTTTTTTCCATAGTTATTTTAACTGCAACATACTTGTGGCCTATATAGGCTAAGCAGTAAGTAAACAATGGCAATTAAACATATTTCTCAAGATGTAAAGAATGTAATCAAATCAATACCAGCTGGAAATACCTTTAGGCCATCTTCTCCAGTATGAACTTGTCTGTCTCTTGCTGTGTCTGCATTCCTATCCTCATCTTCAATAAAATTTAACTCCTTCCCCCCCCCCCAAAGAGTTCATGAATTAGCCCTATATAGAGCATCTTGGATTCCTACTAAATTTTCTCCACAGTAATCATGCCCAGGCTTTAAATAGTTATTAGAATTTGCCATTAGAAATAAAACAAGAAGAAATATTGCTCAGATGCTCCGATTTTGTGGAAAAATGATAGATTTGGCAAATCCTATTCATGGATGGTAGTAATGACAGACCTCACAAAGAGAAAATATTGGACTCAAACCAAACTCTGGAATTCCATGCGAAGAATGGATGAAGTAGGATTAGTGAGGCTTGACCAGAATATAGGTCATGGACAGAAGAATTCTGACTTTCAGTTACTACATCAATATATTTTTATTCCTGTCATAAAAAAATGTTTCCAAAAAGAAACATTTTGTTTCATCTCTAAACTACATCTGATGTTAGAATCATATTAGAGCCATTTAAGGATGGCTGGAGATAACTTAGTGCTGAATGTGAGCTAGTGAGGAGGCAAATGTCTCCTGTATATGATAAGATTTTGGGGGGATTACCTATACTTTATACTCTGCTCCTTAAGCTCTCTTTTCTAGGTCTCAAAGCCACACAGATTCCTACAACTTTGAGATGGTGGTATTTAAAAGAATGGAAAATTGCTGCAGTAAAAAAATTAAACAGGACAAAAAGCTTTGAAAAATTGTAAAATCAAGGATACAGTCATCCATAACTGGTTCTTATTTTTTAGTTGGATTAAGTATTTTTTCTTAATAAAGCAATTTTCTATATAGAAATATTGAATATAAATATTATACTCAAATATTACCCAAATGTTTTTGCTTATTTACTTTCTTGCTTCTGTTTTTGTTCTTGCATCATTTTCCCCCAAGTGAATTATGTCTTCTAGAATAATCCAACAATTGTTGTACCAAAATAACAGAATGAGGTCAGGCTTTGTAACATTTCTGTGGTGACTGTGTGATGTTATAAAAAATGCTTTATGTCACTAATTTATTTTCCTTTCTAGCTCTGTAGCTATAGTTTTGGCCTTTGGTCTTTTTATTATTCAATTTTAAAAAGACACAGAAAGGGCAGGAAAAGGGAAAATGTGACAAATTGTAGTGAAAGATCTCAGATAGGCAAACTGTAGTTAGAAAAGGAAAACTTCGAAATTCTTTTTACAAACCCTTCTCTACCAGCTTACTTGTACCCAATGTGTGGCTCTCAGCCTTTCCAACCCCTCCCCCCCGACTATCTTTCTGTAGGTAGTACCAGTAGTAATAGGGACCTTGGCTGCAACCCCAAAACAACTGAAGTACTACTTGAACACCATTGGTGTTGGCAAAATTATCATCAGTCAATTGCAAAAGGCAGCCTTTCTTGGAACAGTTTACATCCTGTGCCAATACTTTTAAAACCATAGAATTATCATCGACTTGATAGGTGGATGAAAATACCGAATCCAGTCTAAATACCTAGCTGACTGTGCGATGAACCATAGTAATAATTAATAATAATAGTAGTAGTAGTAGTAGTAATAACAACAACAATAATAATATAGCTTACATCATGCGATGATACCTCTCACACTATGAAAACAATATCTGCCTATCTGAGGTCTTTGGGAAGGATTTGATAGGTGGATATAAATGCCAAATTCAGTTTAAACATCTGGATGACTATGCAACCAATTATAATAAAAACAGCAGTAAACAATTTACAATTGTTTAAAGAGAAGATTTAATTCTTTGGTTGGCATTTTTACCTCCAAATCCCTTCCCCCATTCCATACACATTGTGTCTTCAAAGTGTGTTTAGTCCTAAAACCCACAAGAAATTATTTTGAACAGAAAAATGATGGGAAAAGAAACGTTGAACATTTCCTTTTATGAACTAATTTTCCATTCAGCATTATTTCTGCCTGAAGCACATATACACACAAGTATAAAAAGTGTGTAAATTCATTGCTGTATGTAGTTTACAATCCCACTTATTTTATTTTTGTTTTGATATTCATAAAGCATCCTGATACCAAGTAGAATTTTGGTGAACAAAACATTGGTGAAATCTGAGCTGGTAGCCTCTTCAAAGTAAAGTAGATACAACCTTAGTCATAAAGCTGTTCCTTTCTAACGAAATGATATGTGACGTGATTTTATTTGTGTTTTTTAAATTTCCATATTGACCATGCAGAACAAATTACTCATTGTCACCTGAGTTGGAGCTGAGAGAAAAGGGTTAACGCCACATCTTCCCATTCAAAGGCAGAGTTTAAGACTCTTCCTGTTCTATGTAAAACTTCCTAGTCATCCATCTTAAGACATTATGCCTGAAATGTTTCTGGAAAATATTGCTGGACAGCCTCGGTGAGTCTCCATTCATGTGATCTCTTCTGAGATAAAAGAAACCCATATGAAATTGCAGTTTTGAGAGGACAAGAAGTGCAATAAAAACAGTGTTGAAATTCCAAGTAGCAGCTGGAGGGTGCCAAAGGACAGATCAAATAGCTTGTTGTGCTGATTGCAGGCTTCTAAAAATGCTTGTCAAGGACAAAGCTGTAAACAAATCTGAGATTTCTAGAGCATTTTGGGTCAAGCACTGATATCTGACAGGAAAAAACCAGTAACAGAGAGGTATTTTTATTTCTTAAAGGAAATGTTTCTCATACCTTTGAGGAAAATCTTAAGACATTTGTCATGTATAGATTTCATACATATTCATAGCAGTTCCAATGGAAGATAATATATGTACCGTAGCTCAGGACTGATCTGTAGAGTCCTTGGTTGTTTGTTTGCTGACGTCTCATTACCCAACTAGATTAAATCATCTTTGCTGGTGAGTGTGGGGTTTGTTCTCAATTTATAAAGGGCATTGCTGAGAATTATGAAGGAGAAAATCACTTTCACCAACACTGGCAGGGCAAGCTACTGTGTATAAACAGGGAGCAAAACCCACACTCACTAGCACAGATTATGTTACCTAGTTGAGTAATGAAATATCAGCAAATGAACAACTAAGTTCAGAGAACACTAAGGACTCCATAATTCATAGCAGTGACAAGCAGAATAGGCTTTTGAAATAATACTCCAGGACTATTCAAGTTTGATCATTCAGAAGCATGTTAAGACTTTTTTTTTAACAGCAACAATTATCAGTAATAAATGACACTGAGACTCTTTTCTGCCTCCCCAAAAAAACAAAGAGTAATTTTGGTGGCCAGCATTAAAAGAGTAACTTTGGTTTGGGTTTGACTGAATAATTCATATGTCTATCCTGACCCTACAGGATAGTTAGACTAACAATATAAGACAGGGGTGTCAAACTACCGGCCCGCACCTACCCCACTGCCGGCAATGGAAAAAAAGTCGGGATATGTTGTGATACGTCACGTGACACCCCTAATATAAGAGAAGAGAGGGGCTTTTTCTCAAGTCTAGGAAAATGCTACCACACCATAGCTTTCCTGTCGCTGAACCTTTCATACAGTAGTTTGAACCTTTCATACAGTAGTCCTTCCTCCTCCTCCTCCTCCTCCTCCTCCTCCTCCTCCTCCTCCTCCTCCTCCTCCTCTTTTACGCCTTCCCCTTTCAAGGGAAATACAAAGTTCTGGTTCTTGCTCTTCTGATGGCCTCAACCACTGTTAATTGGTGTAATGTGCCTTTGATGTTATCTCTCCATCTTCTTCTGGATCTGCCTCATGTTCTTTGGCCTTCTGTTTGTATATGCCTTGTATGATATGGAATCCCACAGTTGAGCAAATCACTTTATTACATTTCCACTACCCTTGAATATGAAGGGAATGCCAGAAGTGAATCAGTATTTACCTCTAGCTGACCAATACGAGAGTGCAAAAAACACGATCCAACCAGCATCCTGCTCCCTGAACTATTACAATCTCTGGACTCTCTTTATTTTGACCCCTTCTGCATTTTCAGTAGCACTGTGTGTGTTTCTCTTGGCCTTGCATACAGTTTGAGCATGTAGTATAAGAAAGAGCTGTATAGCCACCAAACGTAATTTCTTCTTGCACTTAAAAGCTTGTTGCAAACTGTGGTCATGAAATGATAGCATGGTTTCATATTTGCAACCAGAGACTTTTCCCAGTAACTCTAACCATGACTTCATGCTGTGATGGTAGCTGGAGTCAGGGGAAAACATTCTAAACAATGTGTAAATACTGGTGCTGGTATTGGGAAAATGAAGTTCAGGTCTAGGAGGTGGAGTAAGATTAGAGTTCCTGAAATACTTACAGAGTTAGCTTTAAGGTAAGGCTGAGTAGCTACTGGTTAGGGTGCAAAGCTTAGAGAGTGACAACACTACCCCTCCTCTGAATCATTTTAAAAATATAAATATTTGTGTTGCTGTAAGGAAGCACCATATATCTTTGACCGGGCACTACCCTCGAGCTTTGCAGGGTTCCCATATTGATAAATAAAAGATTTGCTTCAATTTCAAATAAACTGGAACAGAACCAAAAGAAAAAAAGAGACATTTCTTAAACATCAATGTCCATTGAGGTCCTCACAAAGCACTAAGGACATTCCGATTGTTCCTATCTAATAATATTCAAGTTCATATAAGATTATTCCTTAGAAATACTACAGTATATTAGTATGAAGTTCTACACACCTTTTACTCCCCAATTAATCTTGAAGTCTAGGAACAATGCTGTCAGCCCATGCTGATAATATAGATGACTTATTTTTCCAGCTTTCAGTATATTATATGGCAGTTAAAAGAAAACTGGCTCTTTCTTTAATTATGCATAAAATATGATGAAAAATAACAAC